TATATGCCGTCGAATGCGGTACGCTAGATAGTCTTCGCTTTGAAAAGAAAACCAAATTAACAAACACTTTTTGTTCTTGGAATATTCTTTGAGAAATATTAGAAATAAATGTAAAAATGTTCAAACGGAAAATAGGTTGCTTCTTTTGCAGTGTATTGTAGGAGAAAGTAAGTGGTCATGGACGGTGTAATTGTTAGCTGCATCGCAAACATTATACAAAATGAAATATGACCAATAATCACGGGACTCGAAATATTCAATCAAGCATATACACGCTGATTACTAGCATGGACTTTTATTCATCGGGAACACGTATATACAGCGTCCATTAAGAATTCACAAATGTATAAACACTTCACTCTTTCTTCTTAGTCATTTCATGCTGTCTGAAGTGTTCAGTTGAATTTCTCAAGAGTTCGCTGCTTTATTCCCCGAGAGAATTTAAAATGAAGAAATCTAGTCTCTTGTTTGACGTCACCATTTTCTTTCCACCCCAATTTGTGAAAGAAATGAGGATTTTCAAGCACAGAAAAATTAATTGTCATTTCCAAACCCGCTCGTAACGTTCAGACAGATAAAGGAGAGTATGTTATATATAACTTAATATGTTAGAATGTCGCGTTTACAACAATATCTTTATTCATACGCAGAGGGATTCGTAGAACAAATACAGAAAAGGAATAACGTGAAACGTTATATTAAAATTTAAGAAGGACAAGAGAACATAGGAAATTCAGCCTGTGAGGACATAAAGAAAAAAACACTATGAAATATAATCAAATGATCAACATAATACAAAAGATTACTCCACATATATAAATGACAAATTATACAGTGTTCCATATGATATACTGTTATGGGATTTTACCCATAATAATAATAATAATAATGGACTATTCCATACTTAATAAATACTGCGCCTCAGGAGTAGGCCTGAGTCAGTAGTTCAAAAGGAGTCAGTCAATAGTTCAAGTCGAGTCAAGAGTCGAGTCAGAGGCAGTCCGAAACAGAGTCGCGTTCAGACAATTACTGCAAGACATTGGAATAGTGATACTGGTCGAGACTACATTGTTCTCTCTACTAAACCTGATTGTTCATACTAACACTTCTACTTATCTGTATATATTCCTGTTTGTAATATTTCTGTGTTATTCCATACCTGTATTCGAGTTCTTCTTTATTGGCTCTACCTTGAACTATCACCGTGGTACAAGGGACCGGACCATAACATACAATGATTAAAAATTATACTTCCAGGAAATAATAATGATGACCGTAAGAATAATACAAGAGACGACAGTAAAGCATTGACCAGTATATTAAAAAATAATCAATCAGGAATACAGAGCACATGGCCTGAAGATTTCTTTCATATAGGAATGAAACATGTCGTATGAAGGGGTTGATATCAGTAACCGCTTATATATTTTTTCTACATACAACTTGTGAAAGTACGTGCGAAACCCTGCCCTCGTCAGCTAGCAACAAGGGGAGATAACACAGTTTCGGTGGCTAAGGCGGTACTGCCAAACCTGGTGTCAGCAGTAGTTTTTGCCACCAAACAGGGTATTGTGGAGATGTGTTAGTCGCTTGCAATTTTTTTTTTCACAACTGCAAGTCATATTTTCAACGTTCTGTTAAAAGCTTTTGCTTTTTTATCGTTAACCAAGACACGACGCTCTCTTAGCGATCGTTATCATTTATCAATATATAATGAACTCTCCTGTCTTTTTCGACGTATGAGGTTAAAGCGGTTGAGTTCTTAGGAACCGGTAGCCAGACACCGGCAGAAATCAAATGATTTGATTAAAGTGGTGAAGTCTTTTGGCAGAACCGACCGCAATATTTGAAGAGCAGAAAACAGAAACCTGGTGCACCGTGTACCACAAAGGTCGCCAACCGACCATACTTAGGTATTGAATGCAGGGTTGTCCTTCTCCTAGACCAGTTGCCATCCAAGACTATAGAAACCAGTTTGTTCTGCTATTTACCCAGAGCTGGGGGGAAGAAGATGATTCATACCTTTCCCAAGGGCATTTGCACGTAAGTAATTGAATGTAACGGATTCGAATGGAGTTGAAACTCTGCTCTCAATTCCTCAATCCGAAACGCTATACATTACTCTTATTATAAATATACAAAAAAACACACACACACACACACACACACACACACACACACATATATATATATATATATATATATATATATATATATATATATATATATATATATTATAAATTAATTGATTTAAAATATGTTTTTTTCCGCTACACAGTTCTAACCATGTTTCAAAAATAGAAGCTAAAAGCCCCGAATTTAATTTTGCAATTAAATTAAAAGCATTAGTTCCATTTCATCTTCAAGCGAATTTTGGAGTAACTTTTAAAAAATTACTGGGTTTTAAAAACACATCTAAAATCACGTTTCCATGGTTACAGAATATTCTACTTCAATTGGACAAGGGATGTCTAGGTTTTCCTTATGTCAGTATCATTGTATCAGTTATTAGCTACAATTTGGTACGGGGTAGGGATGTATTTTTCAATGAAAATTTCTTTTTTTATTTATATATATATATATATATATATATATATATATATATATATACAGAGAGGAGAGTTTTGAATTATGTGTTACTTTCTTCTAGACGGGATACCACCCAAGGCTATAGAATCCAGTCCGCCCTGCTATTTATTTAGGGGTAGAAGAATACATGACGAGTTATCATTATTTACACTATTTTTATTCGGACTATTGTCTTCATCTTTGTTGATTTTATCACAACTTTGTGCTCTCCGGCCTTCTGTAACTTACAGGAAATTCCGAATCAAACCATTTATTTAATCTAGATAGACTGTTCTCGTTCCAATACTCATGTCTAGTGATATCATCTAGTTCTTATTTCATTTAGCACTTTTCAGTTATTACTCGCACGTTTTCACTGAACGCAAGAACATACTACCCGATCTAGTAACTGAACTCAGAAACCGCTTTTACCCATGGCATTGTCCATTAGGACAACTTGCTGGACTAAACTTGTTGTAGTTTAAAACCTAACATTTACTGCTGATTAGGCTGCCACTGCTACTGCTGTTGGCCGCTTTCTTTCTTTCTGTCTGCTGCTGCGGTTTAAAACTTGTCATTTTTTTGCTTTTCATTATTAGCGAGTCTCTGAAAGAATCAAACCATAAGCTTGGTTATGTGGATCTCCTTAACAGACCAAGCATAGAATTGAATGTGGGAGCCGCTAAGAAAAAAAAATGGATAAAAGTTGTGTTAAAGAAACAAGAAAAATGAGGACAATAATCCGAATATAAATAGTGCAATGTCTGGTTTGTTTGCATCAATTTCCCCCTGTCTCTGACGTTTGGAAATTCCACATTATTATTATTATTATTTTCTTTGATTTCTGGCGTTTATACATTTCTTTCCGGGTCCCGCCCAGGTACCTAAGGTTAGAAATGGCATCATGACACTTTCCACTGACAAAAAAATAAAAAAAAAACATTATATAGATAAAGCCCTTCGTAAAGTGTGGGCTGTACTTGTGAGAACAATTTTTTGAATCTCTTTGAGGCATGGACTTCCAGGAATCCATTCAATTAGTCTACTGGAATCTTTTCCAACCAGTCCTCGGGCACCAACTACAAAAGGGATTGTTGATGTTCCCATATGCCACATTTTTGAGATTTCTATTTCAAGGTCCTTGTATTTTGACAGCTTTTTGAATATCTTCAAAGATACATTGCGGTCAGCAGGGACTGCCATATCAATAAGAAGGCACTTTTTTGTTTGTGGTCTTTAATAACAATATCTGGGCGGTTGGCTTTGATTGTTCTGTCAATGTGTATTGTGTAGTTCCATAGAATTATAACAGGTTAACCTGTAACCGTGACTGGGTGGTGTTCATACTACTACTATTAATATTATTATTTAATTTATTCTTTCCTTATACGTTAGGTTGTCATTGCATGTTTACGAACATTACTATAAATGGAGAATTATTGTAATAATTATGGCAATTCATCATTTATCACCTTTTGTTGTCAGTATCTAAAAAAATTAAAATATTTGGTTTTATTCTTGTAGAACCCTGTAATTAATGAAATTCAGAGTATTAAAAATAAATTTTTGGAATTATATTTTGTTTTTTTTTCTAAGGTTCTTACTAATTAACTAAATCAATAAGATTATATAAAAAATATCTAAAAAATAAAGATCAAAAATTAAAATCCTTAAAATGACGTCAGATTTTCATAAGATGAAGAATTATTTGTTTATATTATATGTTTCAGATAGTCATGTATCGTGTAAGTGACATCGGGCATTGTCACTATAAGACAATGCCCAATGTCACTTACACGAGATATAAAATGGACAATTCCTGCTTTTTATATTTCACTGATAGAGCGAATAACAAGTACAATATTTGAATAGCACAAAGCGTTACAGATATCGAGCTTTGTAAAAATAATAAATCGAGAATCTCTTTTATATTAACCCTTAAGTACATCCCCTTAATCTATGCTTAGATTGTTCATAATCTCCTGTAAAAGAGGCATGGACCCGTGTGACCTCAACCTACATCATGACAGGCAATGCTAAAGCACTTCTTTTATTCTACAGCAACACCGCGTCAGATAGACATACGAACAATTCAGAAATATCTCTTTAAGGAATCGGAGTTTTGTTCGTTTCCATTTCGTGGTGGGCTCGCTTTCTAATTCTTTTTTTTTTATGCTGCCAATATGGATGCAGTTAGTTTTCCATGCGTAACTAATCAAAATCTATTCAGACAGGACAGTCATCGGCGAACCCATCCTTACCACATTCCGCCGCCCGTCGTTGCTATGCATCGGCTATTATCCTCATTCCTTATGTTATCATGACAGGCGAACATTGTGACGTTCGATGAGGACACGCAACATTAATCGATCAATGTCTTTGATTATTTTTCCCTAAAGGAAAGAGGATTATCTCTTTCTTCTCTTTTCTAGCTCTTTCCTGATTTATAATATGCTATCTTTACGTTTCTTTCTTTCGTTCTTTCTTCATGTTTTCCTTTCTTTCTTCCTTTTTTCTCCTTTCTTTTTTTCTATCTTTCTTTTTTCTGTCTCTATTTTAATCTCCAATGAGAAATCCTACTTATTTTTCTCTGTACATATCTCTATATTTTCTGCTTTGTCTTGTCTTGAAATTTTACTACTCTCTTCATTTGTGTCTTTGTTTGTTTGTTTGTTTGTTTGTTTCTTTCTTTCTTTCTTTCTTTCTTTCTTTCTTTCTTTCAGCTTATTCTTCTCTTTTTAATCTTCCATGAGTAATGTTACTCGTTTTCTTTGTATTCATCTCTTTAATTTAATCTTACTCATATTTTGAAAGTTTACATGTTTTTTTTCAATTTCTCTCAATTTCTTTCTTTCTTTTTTCTTTCTTTCTTTCTTTTTTCTTTCTTTGTTCCTTCCTTCCTTTCTTTCTTTCTTTCTTTCTTTCTTTCTTTCTTTCTTTCTTTCTTTATGCTTTTTCTCTCTCTTTTAATGCCCCATCAGTAATCTTTCTCATTTTCACTGTATTCATCTCTTTATTTTAATCTTGCTCTTATGTTGAAAGTTTACTTCTGTTTTTTTCTTTCTTTCTTTCTTTCTTTATTTATTTATTTATTTATTTATTTATGATTTTTCTCTTTTTAATCTCCCACGAGTAATCTTACTATTCTCTCTGTATTCATCTCTTTCATATAAGAAAGAAAGAAAAAAACTGACGTAAACTTTCAACATCAGAGAAATTATGTTGAAAATTTACGTCAGTTTTTTTTCTTTCTTTCTTTCTTTCTTTCTTTCTTTCTTTCTTGATTGATTTTACTTTAATATTTACCATGTTAGTTTAATGCAAATATTCGCTGTATTTTTGACAAACTTATTTTCTCCATACATTCATAGCATCATTATTCATTAATCACACGATTTTACTAGGATTAAATGTAGGTAAGCCTCTTGTCAGATAAATTTTACGTTGCTTCATGGAAACCATTGTTTTGATGAAATTGTTAAAATAATTTGGACAATATACTTGAATACGGGCGTAAAAAAACGACAGAATTTACTGTTTGCCAAATTGTTCTGAGAAGTGAATCATATGCTTATCTTTCCTTTAATATTATAAATTGCTTGGAATAAATTGAAATGAAACAAATCCAACATAGCAAACTGTTAAGCTTTTAAAATTATAAACAAAAATAATTGGTCAGGTAAAGAGAATGTGCAAATTAATTGAAACAAAACTAATTTCGTATTTTTTCAATGAAATATGAACCAGTGAACGTGTTAATACTTCGTATGTCCATTCGACGAAGTCGTTCCTTGCAGATTGAACACAGCTTCTCGATTGGATTTCAATTAGGAGTGTTTCCGGATCAATCTGTATTTATTTATTTGCTCACAGCTAATGTTTGCCTATGTGTTCGTGCACCGTTATAATTTTCGGACGCTTACTTAGAGCCACGTTCATCGCAATACAAAGGCCGTAGGACAACTAATCGATAGTCGAAGCAATAGTGTCCGGGCATGATGAAAATCTGATGCAATCACAGATGACGCAATATTTTTCAATGCCAAACAAATTTCATCATACACACCTAAAATAGATTAATATTACTGCACACCACTGCAAATGGACTAATCAGAAGGAAAATATAAATGTATTACTCCCTGTCACTCCAGTGGCTCTAAAACTGACCGTATAATGAAACAAAGGAAACTAAAACAGTTGTTCCATTTAATTTGCACAAGGGTGTAAACACATAAATAATGTAACTTAGTATTTGATAAATGTCCCTTTTGATTTCTTGAAATAATTAAGTCTTTTTAGTAAAATATTGAAGAGGCTTTTACGGAAAGAAGAAATAATTTTGTTAAATTGGAAAACCTTGGAGTTTTGTAATGTGAGAAAAGATGTTATCTCCTGGTTCAAATCTGAAATCTAACCAGAGTAAATACGTTACTGACAGACTTCTTCTCCACAAAATTTTGGTATACTACAGTGTACAACGGAGAACTGGTTTGTTTAAAAATAACCTCTAGCGATCTTCTTTAAAAAAACATCTTGTTTTTCTGGGAAGGAAATCTTTCTGCCATATTTTTTTCTGTATTCCAAAGCCTTTATTGATTTTAACCGACACGATTGGCCACATAATTGTATTTAACATTTTATATTTGTGGGTGACTTACAACTAAAGTTTAGGGTGAGAAAAATATCATATTAATATTGAATCCGAAAACAGAAATTATTACAAAATATAGTGTACAGTTGGTGACTTGTCGCCATTTTATATTCTTAATTTCGCATTTAAACGAGAGAACATCAAAACTGCTTGTAACAACAAAGATAAATTGAAGGCAAGGATTATGTCGGCATTCATCAACTTAAATAAGGAGACTGTCCAGAAGAGTTGCAGGAGATACGATGTCGTCTGGAGGCCGTGGATGAAGCCAATGGCGATTTTGCTGAAAAATGTTTATTCTTTAGTACTACAAGATACATATATATATATATATATATATATATATATATATATATATATATATATATATATTTAAATAAGTTTTTTGTGGTACAGAATTTAATAACAGATAGGAAAAGACAAAATTTATTAGGCATTCTTAAAAGATAAGGATAAAAAAACCGGTTTAATCCCAGGATTTATTTATCAAATTTATTTTTCTGGGAATAGAAAATTTAAATAGCGTGTAAATTAATTTAAATTAACGAATGAAATGGAATGGAAGAAAAAAAATGAATATATATATATATATATATATATATATATATTGGGTAAATATATCAGTTAAAATGAGAGATCAGTATTATTTTCCTTTTTGCCTAAGTTAGACGAGAATTTATCAATCGCACTCTGTATACGGTTTCCAGTAACACCAACAAGTGATTATAAAACGGACTTGTATATATAACAAAACTTAACATATCAGACTTCATGAAACCAACTTGAGACGTATTGCTTAAAGATAACAGTTTTAAACTTTATTAAGACGTTTCAGTCAGAATACGTGTGCGTGAAAGAGCATCGGCTGATAAGAAAGGGAGAACGCGTCTCATAAGTTGTAAAGTAGCGTAATGTAGACAACCAGCGGCTGTAGTAGAAGTTTCTTTTTTTTTTTTTTTGGAGACATTTCCATTGACAGTGTCCGTCATACTAGTAGGTCCTTTTGCCGCGGGTGAATTTTCTCCTGCTAAATTTCTCAAGATGCTCTCTCAATCTTTATGTTTTTGTAATAATGTCATTTCGGATTAACTACCGGCTCCCCAGCTTAGGGCTCTTGAAAACTAATTAGAACCATTTGTTACGTCGATCATTCTATTTGAACGATGACGTGTTGTGTTCTCCATTACGTCCGCCGAAATTAAAGCACTTCAACTGAAATTAATTTCATCATTCTTTCTGAAAACAAGGATAAGAGCAATACCCCTGTTAGAAGTCTCAGATTGGCTACTACTTGTTTCTAATGTCTGCTATTATTGTGTAGAGATACGTGGTTGTAGCATAGGGCTGTAAAGAAGAGTGCGGGATATGTCAGGTAAAACGTTGTGCTAGAATCCGACACACTGTGGACTGCTAACTCCCATGTTGGACAGTTTTTTGAATTAACCACAATAAGTTCGTTGAGCGGATACGAGGAGAGCACACCGTGTTTTTACTAATTTCAGTAACACCAGAGTGTTTTGGTGATACGGTTTTGTTCATTTCTTATATATAACTAGACATTTTCCCGTTTAGGATAGTATGTATTGTTATTGCTTGATTTTAGACTTTTTGTAGCCTTTGTATTTCATGAAACAATAAAAATATTATTTGTAAGAATTTACAATCTTCTTTATTTCCTGTTTGAAGCTTTGTTCTACATTTGATAACATAGCAATATCTATATGGAGAATAAGCTGACTTCATATATATATGAAAAATAAGCTTGAACAGTAAATAAAATAGAAGAGCATTACACGACTTGGGAGTGTGTGTCGGTTGACCAGCGTTCAATCTATACTACCTCTGATATTTAGTAGCCCCCATACGAGGGTAGATGTGGCACAAGGCCGAGTTTAACGTGGGTCATCCGAGCCCGTAGGCTCGGCCAAGAACTCCCCGTAGAACCCGCATAAACGGGTTTGGGTCTGTCTACATCCCCGGACGAGACACTGCCCTTCAGCACAACCTTGTCCGGGTTCATCTGCCCAAAGGCAGAGATTTCTACAGCAGCTGCGAACTGTCACAGACTCGGTAGAACAATCTATACTACTGTTCCCCCGAGACCTACTCTCCTACTAATTTTATAGTAAGTGGAAGAGTCTAAAATAGACTCATTAGAGGGAGGGCACCACAACAATTAACGTGACGTATATTACTGCTTTTAGTCATAATTAAACCGTAATTGATATACGTCCTTGATGTACATTCAAAATCTTTTAGGATGTTATTCCGTTGATATGTTAACAGAGGTTCCAGTTTCCATTAACGCGACAATGGATATTCCTAAGATTAACATAATGAAGAGTGACATGTGATTTGTGGATCGGCGAAGCCATATTTTATCACACCTGATAAATTTATCAGGCATTTAAAAGGAAATGTTTCTATCGGAATTCTCAAAATGGAAACCTAATTCAGCGTAGAAAAATCACTTATCCTTTAGAAATAAAACAATCGTATTAAACATATTATTTCTTTTATACTTCGACTAAAATTGTCAATAGATGTGCTGGTAGTGTAGTGGTTATCAGGCATAAAGTAGAATAGATGTAACGAGTTCAAATTTCAAACTAGTCTGTTACGTTCATTTTCGTAACAGCCAAGGGTTAAAAAGCAAGATAGTACCATCCAAGCCTACTTGCAATAGTCTAAGTTTAAGAGAAGGAACACTCCTAAATTCCAAATCATTGAGACGACAACGGGGAAATACTCCACTACCTTTCACAATAATGCATTGAAATTTACAGATAACAAAGAAAAGAAGATGCAGAGAGCCAAGATCATCTACTGGGGAAAGTGACATTAAACGTTTTTCTTTAAAGTTTTCACCTCAGGTAAGCCGATAATAGCATTAGGATGCAGGGGGTATAGTGTTATGCCGTGTTCTTTTTAACGCGTATATCTTTTGTATTATTAATGATTCAAGAAAACAACGAAACTCCAAATGTGAATCAACAAGTATATATTGAAATAACATACAAGAACAAAATATACAATAATTTGTATTCAGTGTATAGATTAAGGGAAAAGAAGTTGCTTCCCTTTGACCGTA